TCGGAGGCAGATCACCCCTATTTCTGTAAATATGTTTTGAATGATATTGTTGTTCTTGAAAATGTGTGCCTATGTCAATTACCTTTTAGTTTTGTAAAGACAGGATATACCCAACTCGATATTTGGCCAAGCCAGCAAAATGATAACTGTTGTTTTGGGTTTAAAGATGTTTTGATGTTAAAGTTGGGAAAAACACATTTGACATATTTGCTTTTGCTGGGGGTTAATGGAGGATGGAAAAAAAACATGTTTGTTATTATGGAAAAGCATGCTTGTTTTTGATGTATAAATAAAGATGGCTGGAGCTAAAAAGAAAAAAAACCTCAAAGCTGGTGCCAGTTATTGGGGTGAATGTGGAAAGATCAGAGAAGCAGAATAAGCCACAGCTTTCTCACCTTGCCAGTTCCTCAGCTAATCCTGTTTCCTCAGAGTGGAAGCCTCTGAGTCCTCATATGCTAATGGATCTCAGCTGAACTGTGCTGCTCAAAGCCTAAAAGCTTAACCAGCCAATTGCTTAACCTGCCAAATACTTCTAGTTTCTGGTCTTCACACCTTATATATTTTTCTGACTTCTACCATCACTCCCTGGGATTAAAGGCTCACTTATTGGGATTAAAGGCCAGTGTCACCATGCCTGGCTGTTTCCAATGTGGCCTTGAAAACACAGAGATCCAGAGGGATTTCTGCCTCTGGAATGCTAAGATTAAAGGTGTGTGCTACTGAAAGACCCTAACCCTTCAGGCTTACACCCCCAAGCCCCAGGAAACAAGGAACTAAAAAAAAAAACTAGTTTCAAGGGCAACCTGACTCAGCCATTACTCAATCACCCCTGTAACAATGTAAAAAGATTTCTGTTAAGAGATTGCTCAACTGTGAATGGGATACTTGCAAGTGTTCCAGGAAGGACCACTGTGACCTTTGTGTAAACTCCACTCCTGCCCTGATACCCACTTGAGGTTCCAGGAAGAATGTACATGCGGATGTGACTTACCCACTCTGTGATCAGATCATGATCTTGTGAAACCAAATTGTATGGGAAATGTAATCTTATGGCTTTTGTGGGTTTTTCCTTTAAAAGCCCCCATGTGGCTGCAGTAAGATGTGACTCTTGCTCTCAGGACAAGCGTAGCCCGTCTGTACAGTCGCTTCAGTAAAAACCTCGTGCCATTGCATCAACTGGACTGCAGTCTGGGTTCTTGGGGCACCCACTTGAGACCCTAGATTTTGGGGTCTTACACTACCACTGCCTATCCTCTATGTTTGATATTGTGGCTTTCCTGTTCTGTGAACCCAGATAAGTTTATTAGCATGCACAATATTTTGGGGAACACAATACCATCATACTACCTGCTTACTCAGTTAATATTACACCTTCTCAGGTCTCTGATGGAGTTGAAGATGAAATAGTTATAGTTTTCCATGTTAAGAAATTTGGAAAAGAAACTCACTTATAAGTGGCAAGTATTTAAGTTTGAAAGAAATCAAAAAATATTTTTGTTTGGTAATACAAATTAGGATGGAAAATGAATTAGGTACATTTTGGACTCACTAAAGTAGGATGAATAATGGAATAGTTTCTCTGAATTTGTCAAATGTTTATGGACATGACATTGTTAATGTAATTCTTGACGGTATATATTGTTTATATATATATATATATATATATATACATATACTTATTATATTTATTGTATATAGTTTTTCTTATATTAGTTACAACCTTCTTTAATTATGTTAGACCAAAAGGGGAAATGTATATTGGTTACCACAATAAAGCTTGTCTATGGATCAGAGGAAAATTCCAGCTGCTACAATTAGACATAGTCTCAGGCAGTCATGAAACACACCTTTAATCCTATCACTCAGGATACAGAGATCTATCTGATCTATCTGGATCTCTATGTATTCAAGGCCACAGTTGGAACAGAGCCAGGAATGGTGAAACACACCTTTAATCTCAGCACTTGAGATCTCATGTCTTTTCTTCAGAAGCACTCACACCTTCAATTCCACGAAGTAAGATGGTAGGGCAGAAAAAGCTATATAAGGCATGAGGAAACAGGAACACTCTCTCTTTAGACTGAGGATTTCATAGAGGTAAGAACTTGTGGCTGCCTTGCTCTGATCTTTCAGCTTTCACCCCAATATCTGTCTGTTTTTTATTATTATTAATAAGACCATTTTGTACCTAGAGTGTTCTTGCCTGCCCCTAGGTTAGGACAAATCTCTCTCACCTGCCAGTCCCACAGCCACTCAGAACCAAGCAGGTAAACACACAGAGACTTATATTGCTTACAAACTATATGGCCATTCCAGGCTTTTGCTAACTGTTCTTATATCTTAAATTAACCCATTTTATTAATCTATAAGTTGCCACATAGCTCATGGCTTACCGGTACCTTAACATGTTGTTTCTCATCATGGCGGCTGGCAGCATCTCCTTACTCAGCCTTCCTGTTCTTAGAATTCTCTTTTCTGTTTGTTTGGCCTATGCTTCCAACCTGGCTACTGGTCAATCAGCATTTTATTTCTACAGAGCGATATCCACAGCACCATTTAGCAATTCATGTTATAGTTTTCTGTCTGTGTACATGACCCCTTAAAAGCAGAGGGAGTTGAGTGGTTTGTTCTCTCTTGATTGGTGAAGACCAGGTCAAAAGGCATGAAACAGCATGTTGTTGGTCCACAGCTTTCCAAAGACTCTGCACCTGTATTGACCTTATTCTTTTTTCATGAGTGCATTCCCCCATTTCATACCTTAATACA